CCTCATCGCTCTCTACAACTACCTGAAAGGAGGTTGTAGCGAGGTGGGTGTCAGTCCCTTCTCCCAAGTAACAAGCAATAGAACAAGAGGAGATGGCCTCAAGTTGCACCAGGGGAGGTTTAGGTTGGATATTAGGAAAAATTTCTTTTCTGAAAGGGTTGTTGAGCATTGGAACAGGCTGCCCAGGGAAGTAGTTGAGTCACCATCCCTGGAGGTATTTAAAAGACATGTAGATGTGGTGCTTAGGGACATGGTTTAGTGGTGGACTTGGCAGTGTTAGGTTAACAGTTGGACTAGATGATCTTAAAGGTCCTTTCCAACATAAATGATTCTATGATTCTGTGATCCTATGATCTCCCCCAGCCCTACCACCAGCCTGATGCCAGGGGCAGGGATGCAGGTCAGACCCCGTTTCACTGTGGTGTCCATTCCCTGGACTGCAGCTCTGCTGCCACATAGCAGTGAAATCAGAAACAGATTCACCCTCCTTTGGGTTTCAAACGGGGACTTCAGACAGCCTTCTAGGATTTCACTGACAAGCCTGGCCAGTGACTTACCATACCCTAATCTTCACACTGCTATTATTAAGATTGATGATGGTTTTGTAACAATGTGTTCTTTGCTAGCAGGGTTATATCTGGCTTTGAACAATTATTGTGCGATTTTAATTAACTTATGATATACTCTCTGCCCAGATTTGGCAGTTAGCTGCCAGTTAGTTAGTGTTTCACAGCATTTTGCTTAGGAAATGTTGCTATCAGCACTAAAAAATTTGTGGAAGAAAACAGCAAAAAGCTTTTAGGTAATTTAATATTTCTGTGAGAAGAAGAATTAAATTCTGCAAACTGGGAAAGTGCCCCTTGCTTAAAAACCAACTTTAAGAAATACTCTTAACTACTGTAAAGCTTTAATTAGCAATTACAATTTTACTATAATGCTTTGCTTATGTCTCATGAATGTTTTATTTCTAGGTTTCCTCGATCCTCAAAAACAATGTAACTTGACTTTATTACTTAGCAGAGAGGCGAAATATTTCCTGTCATAGTATCATCCAGCTACTGCCATTGATATTTTCCTAACAACATTTTTCTCTCCCTAGACTATGATGTCTGTGCCGAAGCTCCTTGCGAACAGCAGTGCACAGATAACTTCGGGCGAGTCTTATGCACTTGCTACCCTGGGTACCGCTATGATCGGGAGAGGCACAGGAACAGAGAGAAGCCTTATTGCCTGGGTGGGTAGAAGTGTGTGTTGAACTCATCTCTGGTTAATGATGTATCCTGCTCCCTCAGGTCTTTTAGGAGCCAGTTTAGATCTGAAACTTTTCTTATTCTCTTTACTATTACAGAATAAATGTGTTTTTTAACTATGTGAAGGATTTGTTCCCAGAACTAAGAGATCTAAATCACCCTGAAATTATTAGGAGGTAGTACCTAAAACAAGACATATGCACCCAAACACTTTGAAGTCTTGGGCTGATGCAATCTTCCCTTTATTAATTCCTCCTGCAGGTTTTGAGTCATATCTGGGGTTTTGGCCTGAGACAAGGGACATGATTCTAACAGTAACCCTCAAAGCACTATAACCATGCGTAATTATGAAAATAAATCCTTGGGTTTTGACTCAGATGGCCAGTACCTAATTCAGGACTGATCACTTACATGTGGTCCTTGTGTGGCTAGTCCCCCCTGATTCAATAGTCCTGCCCTGCGTGCTTTGTTGTGCCAGGAAGCCAAGATTTGCAGGATTGAGCTTTGCTTGGAAGCTTTTCAATGCAAAGAAACTGTCACACAGTGTTCACCGATAAAATGCTAAGTGTGTTAATAATAATAGTGCAGTTTGCCCAGAGCTCCAGCCCAAAGCACCAGCGGTGCTGCAATTACTCATTCATTTAACCACAAAATCTCCTGACACCTTTAAAGGAAGTCTTTTATTGTATTTGAGGTCTGAAACCTCCGGCTTTAGGACATATTCGGCTCTTGCTCCTCTCCAGATATCGACGAGTGTGCCACGAGCAATGGGACGCTGTGCTCTCAGATCTGTGTCAACACCATGGGCAGCTACAGGTGTGAGTGTCATGAAGGCTATACCCGGGAGGAGGACGGCAAGACATGCACCAAAGGAGATAAAGGTAAATGCTAGTGGGGGGAGTAAAGGTCCTGAGCCAAAGTGCTGTCTAAAAGGTTGATCTGTCATAAAGAGGAACTGCTCCCTACGCTACATTTGGAGCTGGGGGTCTGAAGCTGGGATGTAGGTGATGCCCCTGGGGACCCTGGAGTTTGTTCACTGGGCACCTGAACGTCTGTGGAGCAGTCCTGCCGCACGCTCTCCTCCTCCCCGGTTTATGAGCTGCACACACACAGCAGTAAATCAGCAGTCACATCTGTAAAGGAAGAGCGCAAGTACATTGAAGGATGTGGAAAGTGTCTTCCCCTGGAGAGGCAGAGTGGCTGATTGGTGAAACTTGCCGTTACAGCTTTGGTTAGACCATTCCTCCTTGATCCAACTGCTAAAAACCGTATTTTGCTCCAATACCAACCTGGATTATACCTAGTTTGCAGTCCGGAGTTCAGGAGACATAGGAAAAAAATATTGCCAGATGCTGACCCTTATAAGCCTTTATTAATTTCATCTGTTAATTAAATTAATTCCAGTGAGTTTAATTTGTATTTACATGCCAATATCTGAGATTAGCAAATGGCCCTGGGTTGGGTGGTTAGTGCCTCTGGGCACTCAGACACTCAGAAAAGGTGTGCCTGGGAATTACACACACCTTTCAAGCATTGCGTAAATCAATTGCTAAACTATGTTGAGTAACACTGAATGCTGCTGATCTGCAATTAGTTTATGTTTCTCCTGACTGCGGTCAGATTTTTTCTTTTTTTTATGAAAGTAATATGTGATGGGAAAGGGGTAAAAGTGAGGGCTTGTTGCTTTTCACTGTTGGTTTCAAAGTATGTATGTGTGCTGTGTATAAATGATTTTAAAGTTTTTTACCTCATCCCAGTTATTAAATTACAGCATTTAGAGTACTGCAGATTAAATACTGATATGACAGTTTAAAAAGAAGGGAGGAAGAGAATAACCCATGCTCTGGGGAAAAAAAAAATCTTTTTTGATGAATGGTGACTTACTATAGGTTTATCAATTAATGCCTGAACACATGTGTCATTGGATGCTCCAAATCCCGCTGGTTGGCCAGAACAATTTGTCATTTTGATTTTCCTCTGAAAATGTGTAACTGGAGCCACTCCATTAACTTTAATTGTTCCTTGCAGTTTTAAAATGTTGTTTTTCCTTATAAATATGTGGGGGTCATAAAGGAAAGAGGTATAAGCTATATAATCTCCTTGCAAATAGTTCTTTTAGTTAACTTTTCCTCTGGCTAGTTCAGATTTCCTGACAGAGTAATGCCCAAAGCATTCAGGATAACCGACCATTCAAAATATTCAATGCTGTGGAAATAATTCTAATATTTGAAAAACACCAATTTTACACTGAATGTACATGGCACATAAAAATGTCAGTTCCAGTAGTTAATCTGGGATGAAATACCCACCATCTCTCACAACATTTCCCAAATCAGCTGTGTGAAGCACAGAAGGATACTTTCTGCTCTGTTACACTGCTGTACTCCAAGTTAATGTTACTAATTGCCAGACCTCTGGTGCAAATGAAAGAGGAGTTGGCCATCGCTATTTCACAGGGCTTGTATCCATAACTCATTCCAAAGAAAATCAAGGTTTTCGGCAGCCGCGAGGAACCAGCTGTAGCGACGCACCACCCCGTGGTCAGCCCCAGCCCTGCACTGCCCTGGAGAGCACCGCATCCACGCTAGAATGACTTCCTAATAAACAGACGATTTGCTTTTCATGGTAGCTGGAACACTTAAATTTGATTTTAAAATTTAGTGTGAGAGACATGAAAACACATGTATCCCTCTCCAGCTTTAACCATGTTGCATGTTTCCCGGGGGATTATTATTCACGTTTTCATCATGCCATGCCTGAAGGCTGCGATCCAGGCATTTTTTTGGCTCTATAAGTGGGCTTGACTGAGAGCTTTGGGTTTGTGAATGTGGCACAAGAATAGGGGGCATTTTTCCTGCATCCGCAGTCATGTTGCATTTCACGGAGACAATACAGCTACCCGCACTGAAGTAGGCAAATGAAACCATCTCAGCAGGCTGAGCCCAGATAATACAACACAGATGATCAACTCAACAGTCTCCATGCAAAGACCGCCTGCGGCACAGCTCCCCGCAGAGCTCTCCCCCGCCAGCATCTCCTTCTCTTCCAGAGTCAGCAAGACAGAGTTTTTGAGCACATGCAAAGAAAACACATTGCTCCGCCAAGCAGATCTCTTATCGATAGGTGCCACGGGGCTCACCGGTGTCTCGCTGAGATGAAAAGGACCCCCGTCAGGACAGCAACGTCACGTGTGAGCTAGACTTCGTGCTTTGGAAAGCCTTCATAAAATGGGGCTGGTTTAAGCCTTCTCAGAAATAATTTTAGTTTCCTGAGCAATGGAAACAGGCTATGTAAGTGCCTTGCTCAGTGCTGGCCAAACTAACCCTGGTAGGTGACCTTCGTATCTGCATCACTCATGGGTGGCTCCATCTAATTGCTTCCTGGCCCCTCTGGCCTGTCCTAGGTGGCTTCTGGCTTTATCCAAGCTTTATTCTGGCTTTATTCATGGTTTGGTCCTGATACAGGATTGGATGGGGGTAGAGTGAATGTTTGATGGATGACTCCTTCCCTGGGCAAATCATCACCTCTATCTGGTATGAGTTAGGGGGATTCCACCTCTCTCCTGGGACACAGTTCACGCTTGCTTATATGACGCTGTTGGACTTCTTCCTCCGACAAGTCAATCCAACTAGATTTGCAGAAATCTCGTGGGTATGATATTTCCCAAACATTAGCTGACCCTCCCTGCATTCATATCCATGGATTGTTACAGCCCTGTTTTATCTATACTTCTCAGCCCCGTGTACCACATCCTTCTGGAAGACAAACTGGATTTTATAATGAAACACGAGGCCAAATTCACCGCTTCTTAATCTGCATGTAATTGCACTGATTCTAGTGGGATTGCATTAGGTTTCAAATAGCAGAGGCTCTGGCAGTTTCTCCCTATGACTGTATGTTGCTTTCAGCAACATTTCTTAACACAATGTGTGCATGTTGTGAGGGATCTCATTTGGTAAGATAGCTATTAAAAGAAATTTTGGTTAAGACTAGTACCAAACCCAAGCTTTATTGGAGTTTGAAAAAAAAAAGGCATTTTTTTCTAATGGCTCTATATATGTGCATCTGTAAATCCTACACAGGTCCAAAAATGGACATATCAAAACACTGATTTTTTTAAAGGAAGCTGAAAAATTGGAGAGGGAGGAAGAACTCCGTGAGGGAGCCACAATACTGACTTGTGGTCGAGAGAAAACTTACCTTATAGAAATATCAAGAGGTGTCTTGATTACAGCATATCAACTCCTTGTTAAGGGGAAGAACCCTGTGTGCTGCAGATTCTTTGATCTATCAGAGTAAGACTTATGGGCAAAGAGACTTTGGAAGAAGTCAAAGGCAAAATGATTAGCATTAGAAATACATGTGAGGAAACCAGCACGTGCTGGTATTCGGTTATCTTCACACAAAGGCTGGAGTCCCTCTGGGAAGTGTTGTGGCCAAATAGTCTTGGAGCCAGTATAGCGGCAATTTGGTGAAATTCTATTTTATGTTATGTAGAGCTTGTTGGAAAACCCCAAGTAGTACCTTTTGGCCTTAAATCTTTGAGACATCCGAACACTGTACAGAAAGCTGTTCAGGTATTACCAAGCTGTGTGCTATCAGAAAGGGCTGGGAAGAGGAGAGTACTTACTGCCATAAAAATGCTAAATAGAATGAAGAGGAATATTGTGGGTTATTGTAATGCCAAAGAACTGCATCTGTGGGAGCAGGCAGTCGATGAGTGGGGAAAACCCCCAAGCCTTTACCTCTTAATC